TCAACTTATATATAGCATTACACATCTTTGATGTGCAAATTTTTAATATGCTTAAATAATTTATCATAGAAGTTAGACATTTGGTCTAAGTTATCCATCTCATATTGGACAACTGCTTCAACTTCATATAGAGCATCTTTAAATGAATTTCCCATGCTTCTAGAATTCCTTGACCATCCCCTTTAATGGTTACACTTCCCATTGTCTGATGAACATTATCCCTTAAAGGCACTCATGAAAAGAAAATACAACCACCAACATCCTACAAAATATAAGGTGTCATTCAGATTTGTTGAAGGACCAAAACCAATTAACATGTTTTACAATTATCAAATGTTGCTTACTTGGGACTTTGCACAAACCCCCTAGTATGCCAAGCCATTTGAAGGTAAAGACTCTGCAAACCCCCATTCCACATGGGCGAATCCTTGCCTCATCCTTCTATAAAAGAAGTCGCATCTTATATTAGGGTCAAACTACAATGATGATATGTTGGTTAGTAATTTTTCTCAAAGTGTAAGTGAACGGAAAAGATTTTAAGAACATCAAACTTACATAAAATCGACAAGCATAAAACTCACAACCAACATTCTTAAACTTCCCATGCCTAGCTATAATTGTTACACACTCTCTAAACGGGCACAACTCCTTCATGGTCCCTAAAATAATCAAAGTAACTTCATTAATATGCAAAGTATTACGTATGATGTGGGCAAGGTAGACACAGGGAACATGCGGTTTAAGGGGCTGGGCGGGTAAGGGCTAGGCATGCAAGTGTGCGAGTGGGCAAGGTGGGCGAGATAGCGGTTGGATGTACAAGTGGGGACTTTTAGGAATTTCTTCGAACAAATGGCATCTAAATCTGCATATGTTTGAATCATTATGAAATGCTCCATTTTACAATGAAATGTTGCGTTTACATCATCCCTAAGCTTCCACCGGTGTGTCACTCTTTCATATGATGATGGTTTTACCTACTACTAGTCGGTTGACAGAGCTTGTATTCCACTAGACCTGTTGTGCTTGAAACTACGCCAGTGATTACCAACAATAGTAGAACCGTCTCATGGTTGTAATATATCACTGGGGATGATTGTCTTGCCCAAACAAACTGAAGACAACAACTTTGTCATTGTCATGTTAATATCTATGTGATGTAGGTGAGTCAGTTCAACATTAGAACCATGAAGAACAGAGTCCAGCATACGTCCCCTTGCGTAAACCGAAAAGGGACCAAACTGGAAATGCCCAAACCGAAAAGTTTATTTTAGACCAATAAAGGGTTATCTGGGAATTTTTGGACAATAGATCAATCACATGATGCCACGTGTCAATGGTTCATGATGGATAGTTGATGATAGGGGAATTTAACAATTGTCAAAAATAGTAAGGGTGCTCCAAGGCAATTTATAAATAGTAAAGCTTGACAATTATCTAAACAATAGGTGTAGTTTAAGAAATTCACCCTTTGGAAATTCGAGTACCAAAGTGAGACTAGACCCAATTATTAATCAAAACAAAATCACAAAACTAGAATTGATATAATCAAGTTGGTTTAATCAATCAAATACAATCAATCCATTGACAGCCCTAGGTTTGGGGGACGGACTACCACCTAGTGTAGCCCCATGAATCCAAAGAGAACAAAAAAAAGGGTTCATGAGCATTTGGATGAATCCCATGTTTTTAGGTACGTCACTTTTTTTTTTCAGTAGCGTAATGGGACTTATGGAATGTTATTATTTCATGTTGGGTCACAAATGAACCATTCAAACCATGAACTTGAGCCTTTTCAATTCCTTCTCCAATCCGATTTTCAAAATTTGATCATATGGTACTTCCATGTAGTTGGGTATGAGAGGCCATCCAACCATTCCTCTTCGTGCAGAAGAAAGAAAGCTACCATTCCATTAATTCATTATTTAGCTAATTGAGAAATTGCACCCTTACTGTTTAACTATTGTCTTTGAGTTCTCCTAAGTTTTTTGACAATTGACTAGCTCTATCCTTGTCATTAGCATTCGTTAATGTTCTATCAAAATCTGTGCACACGTGACACCACATGATGCATAATTTTTTTAAACCCAATATTACCCCCATCCCTCTTCTGCAAGCTAGGTAAGAATAACCGCCCATGAGTTTTTAGTTTTTTGTAAGCTATTGGAAGATCAGTCATTGTTACGATCAAAACCACCGAGTCTCGAATCTTGGTGGCTGCAAGGAATAGGAGCCCAAAGAAGACTCCACATACAGAGAGAGAAAGAGAGAGCATTAGCCGGACAACAAGTTGTTGCGGCTTGACAAATAATCATCTCAATATTGTTCAAACTGGAAAACAACAACTACGCCTAATGGGTGCTCTAATACCTACCCAAAAAGTGAAATTTCACTTCCCATGTTTCTTCTCTTCAACCTTATCTTCTTTGACTTAGCCGTAGTGGCAGCTTTGGCACCAATGACACCACTGGCAAAAACAACAACAACGACACCACCGTCAGAAGGAACCGATGCAAGTTTCTCCCTAGTAGAGGCGATGAACTTGATAATGCCCTTCCTTGATTACAAAATAAAAAGAAATAAGAACCCAAAAAGATTTAGAATGAAGATGAAGATGCAAAAACCCAACTCCATATCTATAAAATTCCTTATTAGAATACTTGATCCCAAGATGGTTTTAAGGTCATCGACGGAGGGCTGGAGGTTTTCCCCCAAGGCAACGAGAAAGTACGCAATGATGATCTTCATCTTGGCTTTCGGCGAAGCCAAGATGTGACTACAAGCAAGTATGCAGAAACTAGGGTCTCTCCGCTTGAGACACCTTTGTGGCTTTTGTTGCCAATCACTGTGTTGGCAGCTTTTCTAAGCCCTAGATGATCGATCAGGGCTTGAACTCATTTGGAACTCATGCTCCTCCAACATGTACACACAGGGTGGGAGTTGCCACTCCTAGAACGAGAAGCTCAACCTTTCGTTTCCAAATTCCACTAAGTTTATTACGGTTGAGGTGAAATGCAAGACTTATTCTAGAATCAAAACTAGAGGAACCAACAACACTTCGGTCTTGGATTTCATTAGAGATTGTACATCTGCTTTCTACCTCCAATTTCTCAGTTATCAATTAAGGGAGCCCGATGGGGAATGTAATGGAAATTTATCCCTTAGGGTGGTGGTACCACAATGGTGCAACCTTCACCCCTCTATGTTGCCACCATTATTTGGAGCAAGGCTATTTGAGGCTATTGAGAAGAGGCCACTGAGAATGGAATCACATTCATTGAGCAGAGAACACCTTGTTTAACTCCCCCTTTTCTTCTCCCTCTCATTTTCTTCCCCAGTGCCATAGGGGAACCACCTCTAGATGAGAAAGAATCGAAGAGGAGGGACTACCAGAGATTTAACATTATAGCCCGTTTCTTTCGATTCGTTGCCATGCGTCGAGAGAAAGGGGAGGATGAACAATAGATTTTTTGAATTAGGTTAAATGAGGAAGAGAACAAGGGCAAAGGGGATATTTTGTCATTTCTATACGATTTAAGGGCATTGAAAATTGTGAGAAACAATAGGGGTGGTTTAAAACAATAATTATACAATAAGGCTCCGTTTGATTTGTGGGAAGATTTGGGTGACATGGGAAAAGATGGGATGGGATGGAACGGGAAAGTGTAAAAATTTACACTTCCATTGTTTGGTTTTATATATGGGAAAATAATGAGAAAAGCATTGTTTTATCAAGAGGAAGACGAATAGTAATTCGTCGGTGGAAAGCACTAGTTCTTTGGTCAATTACTGTTGTATAAAAATATTCAAGGAATATATGCAACAACCAACAAGCATAGCACTTGCAGGAAGAGCAGAAGCTTTGCACCTTTGTCTACTCTCTCTCTCTCTCTCTCCAGAATCTGATGCAATTGCAATATATTGATCTCTCCGACAATTCATTGAAAGGGTTTGTTCTAGTTGGGTTTTGGTCTATGCCGAGCCTTGTTGAAGTCAATCTCGTGATGAATCAACTCGGAGGTAGTAGTGGTTTCGAGTCCATGTCGAGAAACGCTTCAGGTTCATCTTTATCGTCGATTCAGAAGCTCAATCTCTCGCACAACAGATTCACCAAAGTGCATCTTTCGGGATTCTTGCGCCTGGAAGTGCTCAACCTGTTGCATAGCGATCTTAGAGTTTTGCCTTCTGGGTTGGAGAAGCTCACGAAGCTTGTGTCCCTCGACCTCTCAAGTTGCAATATTTCAGGGAGTGCCAAACCTATCGCCAACCTTCGCTCGTTACAGTACTTGGACGTCTCTAACAATGCCATGAACGGTAACTTCCATTTGATTTTCCTCCACTCCTCAGTCTCAAGTTCTTGAATGTGTCTGTATAACCAAACAATAGAAGGGAGTGGCTGAGAGGGGGTGCCGCCGCCATTGCTTTGCTTCTGGGTTCAAATGGGGAAGGGGAGGTACTAGACAATGAACGGAAGGAGAAGAAAGAGAAGAAGAAAGGAGAGAGGGAGGAAGGGAGTAGGTGAGAGGGGGTGCCGCCGCCATTGCTCTGCTTATGGGTTCAAATGGGGAGGGGGAGGTAGCAGATCGCCGCTACCCCTTGCATTGGTTTTCTTGCCACTGTCACCTCCTCTGCCCCTTGCACAAATCGCCAATGGTAACGGGGAAGGCACTAGTTCTCTCCCTCCTTTATTCGACGTCACTAGTACTTGTGGTAGTGATTTCTCAAATTTTTTCATTGGGGTCACACAATTTTGGTGTGACCCCAAATTCACGATTTTGGGATCTGATATCTCACATTTTTCTCATCCCATCCCTCTATTTCCCTCAAAACATATGAGAAAAAAAGAAATATTTTTTGAATATTCCCTTTTTCTCGTTCCCATCCCACAAACCAAACGGAGCCTAAACGTTTAATTTGTCAATTAACTAAATAGGGTTATTTAATAAATTTGCCCAGTAATAATTTCTTAACACATTTTCAGTAATTCAAATTCACCAACGCTAATAAATTCTCTTTCACTCCTACAACCCGCAGCTTCGAAGCTCTCGCAAGCTTTTAAAGGAAATCACAAAGGGCGCGAAAGCACAAACGTCCTATGCTTTGATCTCCATTTCAATCTTCTCCATGCCCGGGGGAAGGAAACCCTAAAAGCTTGTACCTATTTGTGTTCCATTTCAGTCATGTTCTCTCCTGCAACGAAGAAATCCTCTTTCAACTCTCAGAAAGATCGAAATCCAGTTCGTGCAGCGCCAGATTCTCCTTTAACGCCACTTTCCGACAACCGGCAGAGCACTTCGGCCGCAAACCGACCGAGCACCGGAACACCCGCGCCATGGGCTTCTCGATTATCAGTTCTTGCTAGGTATGAGGTTTATAGCGTTTTGCTAGTAACAGATTCTAATTTTTCAGTGTGTGAACTACGAACGCTCATAATATTGAACTATATCTTTACTTATATTGAGTTCGATCAGAAATAACTTATTTAGTTGGGGTACAAACTCTCAATCAAGTTCATGAAGTTTGATGATCTGAACATCGGAAGATTTTATTTGGCTTTTAGAAATGATTTGTAGGACATTATGGAACTTTTGCACCTCTCAGTTGTTAGTTTGGGTAATTTTAGGATGCTGTTTGTTTGTTCTAAGAATTACAAGAACGTAATAAGAGTGGGGACTATACATTTAAATTAAGGGTTTCAAGAATTTGTATATTTTCGAGTTTGAACGTTTCTGTAGTCTGTAGTCTTTGTTTACATGCCAATCTACAGGAGGTTCTCTTTCCATGTCGTCTTTCCCCTTGTCTCTGTTTGTCTATTTTATTACCAATAATCAATTGGACCATAATGATGTCCAGCTTCATTTTGAAGTGCTAAACTATGTTTTTTTCTTTGCTTTTGGGGAAAGGTAAGAAGGGGTTACTGCCCATAATTTGCTATGTTAATGAAAAGAGAAAATATTGCAATATCACGTTGGGTGTTTTGTAATTGTGTTAGTTATCATCTTAACTTTTTATCCAGAATTCCACCAGCGAAGAAGGCTGAGAAGGGGCCTGATGCGGATCCAATTGAGCCTGTATATGTTGGGGAGTTCCCCCAAATAGTTCGTGCTGCACAAGCCAGTTACCTGCATAAGACTGTTCCTGGTTAGCACAGTTACTCTAAGACAAGCCTATATATTGTCATCTTCCTTGAGCACTAATGTTTTGCTATGATAACTTTCTTTTTTCTTCTGGCAGGTCATGCATGGATTTCTGGAGGAATGGATAAGGGAACCTCCCTGGCTTGGATAATCTGTGTAAACCAGCTTTTTATCTGGAGTTACTTATCACCAACAGCTTCAAGAAAATGTGTTGTTCTCGAGCTTCCTTCATCTGTTCTGGAAAGTGGGGGTATTACTACAAAGTCCAGTCACTGTAATAGATGGATGCTCTGTACTGTCAATTGGGATGGTACATGTGAGAGCAAAAGCAAAATGGTAGAACAGTGCAACTCTGTAGGTATAGTTATGTGTAACCAGAAGACTCATGCTGTTTTATTTTGGCCTGACATTTACTCTGAAGGGGAGGCTGCTCCTGTCATTAGTGTTGCATCTTTTGATGAAACTCTGTTTCATTCTTCACATGCTGATGGGAAAACCACACTGAACTGGCCACGGGAGCATGGTAGGATGGGAAATAGTAACATGGAAGAAAGAAGTTCTTTCAACTCATTGATTGCTTCTCCTTTTCCTGGTACGCGTGCTTGTATTGCACTAGCATGTGGTTCTGATGGTCAGCTATGGAAATTTCAGTGTAGTCCTTCTGGCATTTCCCAGAAAAATATTTCTCAATCTTTGTATTCTTTATCCAGTCAAGCTAGTGATCAACCTGTTGTGACTGGGTATCCAAGGTCTCTTGCATGGCGTTATCCACTCCATTCATCAGAGGAATCCAATCGGCAATTCTTTTTGTTGACAGACCATGAGATACAGTGTTTCAATATTAAACTTACTTCTGACTCAACTATTTCAAAACTGTGGTCCCATGAAATTATTGGTACTGATGGTGATTTGGGCATTAAGAAGGACCTAGCAGGCCAGAAGCGCATTTGGCCTCTAGATATGCAGGTAGATGATTGGGGGAAAGAATTAACCATTCTTGTTGCTATATTTTGTAAGGATCGGGTGTGCAGTTCAAGCTACACACAGTACTCACTTCTGACAATGAGGTATAAACCTGGGATAAATATTTCTTCAGAAAATGTTGAACCAATACATGAGAGGATATTGGAGAAAAAAGCTCCCCCTCAAGAGATAATCCCAAAGGCAAGAGTAGAAGATGAGGGCTTTTTGTTTTCCATGAGACTCCGTGTTGGAGGCAAGCCTTCTGGATCAGCAATCATACTTTCTGGGGATGGAACAGCTACAGTGTCCACATATTGGAGAAGTTCAACTCGGCTTTATCAGTTTGACTTGCCTTACGATGCAGGAAAAGTTCTGGATGCTTCAGTCTTCCCTTCTACGGAGGCTAATGAAGAGGGTGCATGGGTTGTACTAACTGAGAAAGCAGGAGTGTGGGCAATACCCGAGAAGGCTGTTCTACTTGGTGGGGTTGAACCACCTGAGCGAAGCTTGTCACGTAAAGGAAGCTCAAAGGGAGCTATGGAAGAAGAGAGAAGGAACCTGTCATTGGTAGGCAACATTGCTCCTAGAAGGGCTAGTTCTGAAGCACGGGATACTGGAGATAAACAAAGTGCACTGATGTCTGGGATCACACGCCGAGTTGCTCAAGATGAAGAGTCTGAAACTTTACTAGGTCATCTCTTCCATGAATTTCTTTTGTCTGGCAGGGTGGATGGCTCACTTGAAAAGCTTAAAAACTTTGGAGCATTTGAAAAGGATGGAGAAGCAAATGTTTTTGCTCGCACAAGCAGATCAATTGTTGACACCCTTGCTAAACATTGGACTACAACCAGAGGAGCTGAAATTGTGGCTATGTCTGTTGTGTCCTCCCAGCTTTTGGATAAGCAGCAGAAACATCAAAGGTTTCTCCAGTTTCTTGCATTATCTAAGTGCCATGAGGAGCTTTTTTCCAGGCAGAGTATGGCCTTCTCCCAATAGTATCTATTACTCCATATTAAAAACTTTCTAGGCGATTTAATGTTCTATGAATTGAGTGCTTGTATGCTGGCCTTTTCTGTTCTGCCTACTTAAATATTGGTAAATTGCTTTCATTTATCAAAAAAAAAATCGGTAAATTGCTTTCTTGAGAAAGAAAAAAAAAAGTTCCAGATCATCAGTCATGCAGATGATGCATGGATGCCAAGTGTCCAGGTATCTAAGCATCTAAGCATGTTTACCTTTAAAAATCACAACCTGGGTCTCAGAATCAAGAAAGAAAATAAGAGAAAGAGTAGAAGAAAAAAAGTATGTAACAATAAGAAAATACGAAAAAGAAAAAAATCTATGGCTTTTCTATAAAGTGGAAAAGACAAAGTAAGTCTATTGTGTGTGTTTATGTTCTTATCTTTTAATTCTCTTTTGAGGGTGGTGGTGGTGGTAAGACCAGTACTGATATGCTCAATGCCTTGCCGAAAGTCTTTTTTAGCAGCTTTTGGTCTGTCTTAGTTGAAAGTTTTAATTTGTCAGATGACAATCCTAGTTATAGGGGTTTCATGACAAATTTATTTGCCATTCTTCTTGCTAGGATGCTTCAAATATTACCTAGGCCCCAGAAAAAATTATTATTCTGTTGCATTGACAGGGTATTCATTGCAACTTATCATGGAGCATGGTGAAAAGCTTGCTGGTATGATCCAGCTGAGGGAGTTGCAAAATACAATAAACCAGAACCGTTCAAATGAGATCAGCTCTCCATCTTTTAGTTCACCAAATGCAATGGCTGGCTCTCTTTGGGATCTGATTCAATTAGTTGGTGAGAAAGCCCGGCGAAATACAGTTCTTCTTATGGATAGGGACAATGCTGAAGTATTTTACAGTAAAGTTTCTGATCTACAAGAAGTATTTTATTGCTTAAGTCATCAGCTACAGTATATAATTGGTGGGGAACAGCCACGGATTATACATATTCAGCGAGCTTGTGAACTCTCAAATGCATGCACAACTCTAATCAGGACTGCAATGCAATACAAAAATGAATATCATACTTGGTATCCTTTGCCTTCAGATATTGCGCCTTGGTATTGTCAAGCTGTGGTCCGTGATGGGCTATGGAGTTTAGCTTGTTACATGTGTCATCTTTTAAGTGAATCAACTGGGCTTGATTCAGCAGCAAAACCAGATTTACATTCTTGCTTAGAAGGGCTAACTGATGATCTGCTAGAGGCATATACTGGTGCCATAGCAGCAAAAGTTGAACATGGAAAAGAGCATAAAGGTCTGTTACACGAGTATTGGACAAGGAGGGATAAGCTGCTTGGTTCCCTTTATCTACATGTCAAGGGTTTTGTGGAAGCCAGGTGTAAGGTGATTGTGTTATCAAATGTTTAATATTTTCATGTATGTTCCTTTAGACATTATATACATGTGCAGCCAAGCAGTGAGGGAAACTCATGTTAATTTGCTATTAATTTTTTGCATGCCCCATTCAGTTTCAGTACATGTTATCTGGACATAAACTTCACTTTATATCCCTTTACAATTATTGGAGGATGGGTTGTATCGTTTTTAAGACTGCTCCTCTGATACTTGGGCTAGTAGGCAGTTCCTTGTAGTTTCAATTTTTTTTTTTAGTGTGAAATTTGAACTGAGCAGGAAAATATCTTCTTGTTCATGACTTCATGCACATGCTAAGGTTTATGAAGAAGTTAACAGACTAGCCTATTGCAAATACAAAGATGCATGTTACAGATCTTATTCCAGAATTCCCTAATTTTGATGTCTTACCACTGGTTTGGTCATTGGCCCTTTCTGGCAAGAAATGGAACTGTTTTAGCAGTCTGTACCTATGTTGTCAGACTCTGACTGGACTGAAAACCAGAATGCTCATTGGATCAAGGTTTTACCGGTTAACCAACTGGTTGGTTTGTTCTGACCATGAAAACCATCAATTAACCAGGACCCAGAAAGGTCACCATGTTGCCAAGTTCCTGGTTCAACTGTCTGGTCTGGTCCAAGTCTGACAACTTTGTTCTGTACCAGATTATGTCAATTAAGAACTTTGGATGGTGTGGGTTTTACTGTCAGGACATTTCAATTGGCCCTGGGAAAAACCACATAGCTTTGGAGGAATAGGGTCATGCTAATCACACTTATTAAGAACAAAAGTTGTGTTATTTATATGGTAAACTGGCAATGAGCTTTGGGTTATAACTGATGGAAAAACTTCATTCCTATGAATATTTCTCATGTGAATGACATGCTATTACAATTTTAAAGAAAATTTTATTTGGATGTGCTCTTTTGACTTGTCCTTGGATGCATACTACAAGGTGGGCCTCAGAAAATTGTTGTTGGTATATATTTCCACTATTAGTATCCTGCTTCTGTTTCTACTCACCCATGACAGCCACCAAATTGAGAAAGATACAGCATTGTTTCTTTTCTTTGATTGGGAAAAGATACAGCAGTGACACCCATATTGTTTTTTAATCAGTAGCTTATTAAATTTATTAAGTTGTGAAGAAAGAATTATATACAAAAAACTCTGTGCCAGCACATGTTTAATTATTAAAGTTCCTTTAAGAACATTTGGATTCTTATAGAAAGCAATGTTTTGCTCCTTGTGGCTTACAAAATTTAGCTTTTCAAGTTCACACAAGCTGTGAAATTGCGGTTTTCATCTTTGTATTTCATGTTGCTTGATAATTTGATTGCTTTTATTTTTAATGATCTCTGATGTCAATAGAAGGTAGACATTTAATTTTTAAATTCTTAACTAGACTTTTAACCAAACAAAGTCTTTCTTGTTTCAGCTTAAGGTTTTTGGTTGTTGCAGGATTCAAATGAAGGGACAGTTGAAAAAAAGGAACCAATGTTTAGAGAGCTTCTTTCACCGTTATTATCCATTGCTAGACGGCATGAGGGCTACCAAACTTTGTGGAACATATGCTGTGATCTCAATGATACAGTACTTCAGAGAAGTCTTATGGTATTAGTACAGATCTTGATATCCTAGCATGCCTTTTGTCTTGGCATTTTGTTTTCCTTCAAATTATTATTAATATTATCATTAATTTATTTGTATTTTGCAGAAACTACAACCTGTCTTATTCCAGTGGTAGTGAAATTGCAGGAGTTTTTTCTTTGATAGTAAAGAAAAATTCATTTAAAGAAAAGAAAATACAAAATAGGTGATAAGGAATGACACACAAAAAAACCAAATAACATCCTAAACTCTCCATCAACAACATCCCCCCTCCCCCAAAACTTCTGCTCTCTTTTCTCTTTCTTTGAACTTTCCAAAAGTTCTTCTTTCGGCCTCATTCTCTCCTGGATACAGCACTCCCAGAGCTTTCCTACTTTAGTTTCTTTGTCAATGGCTTTCTTCAAATCCACATTTTGTTTTGCCCAAGGCACTTCATCTAGGGGCACTTCTTGATCTTCATCATTCTGTGCTAAAGTGGCCCCACGATCCTGTTCCTCAACCTCATCTACCCCCGCCAACTTTCTACTATCTTCAACAAATCCTCTATCTACTTCATCAATCCCTTCTAATGGTTTTATTCTGTACTTGTTTATCCTGATCACCCTCCAAATGGTTTAGAATACCAACTCTCTAATCACATTAAATTCTCTAACAGAAGATGAATCACCCAGATCCATATCTTTTACATCATGTTGAAACTCCTCTAAAACAGATTCTTCCCTTACATTATTTTTTGCTGAAAAGTTACCCTCATCAATGCAACTATTTGAGGAGATATCTGTGAAAAATTTTCAGATGATTTATACTTGAACATTCAGGTTCTTTAAGATTCACATCTATGTTGTTCCTCATTGCTTTCCTCTTATAAACCTTCTTAAACTTTTCACGTTTTTTTTTTTAATATTTTGAGAAGTGACCACTCTCAGATTTGAACCTGCTTTCTCATTGGTTATTGTACCTAGCAATGGCCTCTTTGTTGCATCTAAAAATAAAATATTATTGGTCACACTGTGGAATCTATTGTTTTGCTTATTTAACAGTAGTTTTTTTCCTGAACTTGATATATCTTATTAAACACAAATAACATTGAAAATGGGGATGCTAGCTTGAATACTAGAGATTAGGTTTGTATCTAGTGCTCCTTTCTTGATGTAGGATAGTCAACTTTGATACCAATTGCCGTAAGGCAACTATAACCCAAGGGTGAAACTAAGTGTTAGAATGCTCGAGTCAGGGGTATTTTGGTCATTCTGGTGTATCTTCTTGAAAGTGAAAGGTCTATTGTATCTGAGTTTAAGTTATGTGTCCCATCTTCTATGAGGGACAAAATTGTCTTTCTTGTAACTGAAGTTTTATGAATAAAAGTCAAGTGGTAGGAGAGTGATTTTTTACATTCTCTTCTAGTCTGGCCGAACACTCTTCTTCTCTCCTTCTTCTTCTTCTTTCTCTTTTCTCTTTTCTTTCTTCTTTCTTCTTCTCTACTTTGACCTAGAATCAACTAGGGTTTATTCACATGGTATCAGAGCAATAAGGTCTTGTGTTTTCTTGCTGCTGTCTTCTTCCTGGGTTCGCTGCCAGCTTCACAGTAGGTTTCATCATCCTACAACTGACCTGATTGAAGACTCGATAAAGGGCTGAAAAGGAGTTGCCGTTTTGAGACCCTAGAGGTGAGAATGCCTTTGGCCGCTGCTGTGGTGGTCGTTGAAGTGGTATACTAGACCCTCTATTCAATGTACGAAGAGGGCTGGACGTATACAGGTATGGACACTGCTGTCGTGTGTTCAGAAATGGACTGTGAATGCTAATTTTTTGTGCTTCAAAAGTTAGTTGTTGTGGTGCTGGGTGAAACTGATACACATATCAGTTATGTTCCAATTTTTTCTTGCTCGCATGTGTGCTGAAAGAAGAGTAGTAGACTGCTGATGTCCACGATAGCAGTGGTGTGGTGTTGGTTGTGTTGTGGTGGCTGACATATCTATGATTCTAAATGCTTAAAAGTGAACCCCTAGACTTTGTGTGTAATCAGTTCTGCAGTATGAAGAACAAGTGTTCGATGAAATGACTTAGTAATTTCAGCCGTGGTGTGTTGATGGTAAATGGTTCTGCAGTGTGCAGTCCAAGTGTTTGATGTGTTGACTGAATGATTTCAGCTTTAGAGTGTAGTGTGTAATGTGCAGTTGAAGAAAGTGGAGTTGGTGGTATCATAAGTGAGATAAGTCTTGTGACGAGTGTGAGATTGTGGTGTATATTCAAAGGTGAAATAATTGAGATGGCTTCAACTGTAGATGGGAATGACAACAAAACCGGCATCATGCTTTCTTCAGATTATCTAAGTGTTCAAATGACATCCATCAAGTTGAATGGTGAGAACTATGTACCATGGGCAAAATCTGTGGAGGTGTTCTTGAAGGCCAAGAGGAAAGTAAAACATGTGAGGGAGGAGAAACCTCCCTCTGATTCTCTTGGGTTTAGTGATTGGGAACAAGATGATGCACADATAATGACATGGCTTTGGAACAACATGGAACCAAAGATTAGTGTGAACTTCATGTTCCTAGATACAGCCAAAGAGATCTGGGATCATGCTAAAAAGTTGTAYTCTGGACAAGACAACACAACTAGGGTATATCAGTTATACCAAGAGTACTTCAATTTGAAGCAAGGAAGTCAAAGCTTAGAAGAGTATTATGCAAGTTTGAGGAACATTCGCAATGAGTTAAATGTGGGCTTGAAGGTTGAGTATGAGCCTGTCAGAGCATAGATATTGGGGGGATCAGCTCTCCCCTCACTTGAAGAAGTTTTTGCCTGTCTTAAGAGGACATCCATTGAGCCGGTGGAACATTCTTCCTTCTCTGATAGATCTGGTTTGGTAGTGACTAAAGGGAGTGGCTGTGGAATTTGAAGTGGTGGTGGCAGCAGTGGCCCTCCAAGCAACCGTGGTGGACACATGTTTAACCGGGCTAGTGGCCGGACTGGAGGCCGAGAGTCGGGGGGAGGCCGTGGAAAAGGAAGGGGTAATGCTCAGAGAAAATGTGTACATTGTGGCTAATTTCTGCTATGATTTGCGTGGTCCACCCAACACTTAGGCTAACCATGCTACATCTAAGAGTAGTAGCACAATTACTGAAAGCCAGCAAACTGTCCCAACCCCCTCCACACCCGCTTGTGCTTCCGGACAGGAAATGGTGAGTGTACCACGGGCAATATATGAGCAGTTCCTTCAAACATCTCAACAGAACACAACTACACTTGCCCATTCAGGTATGGCTTGTTTAGCTTCCAAAGCCTCACCCTGGATCATTGATTTTGGAGCCTCGGACCATATGTTTGGGACTCTTGATGTATTTTCTTTCCTTTCTCGCTCCTCTACATCTCAGACAGTTACACTTACTAATGGTTCTACATCTCCTATTTGTGGTGTTGGTGATGTTGATCTYWYCTCMTTRTCTTTAGCATCTGTTTTATATGTTCCTAAGTTCCCTTTTAACCTTATGTCTGTTAGCAGATTAACCAAGTCCCTTAATTGTTCTGTAACCTTCTATC